TTACAGGACAAAGCATAAAAAAGGAGTGTGCAGAAAAAGGACGATTTGTTTCTTAAAAATAACATGCACACCTACTGAGAATTATAATACTTCTTTGATGTTATCTGTCATGTTTTTAGAAGAAAAAGACATCAACTTATTGACTCATTGAGCATAATATTGAGACTTCGCATTTTCGGGACAAAAATCGTGTGGAGTTACAAAGTTTCCCAATAGTGAAAGCAGTAGCAGTAGCAGTAGCAGCAGCAGCAGCAGCAGCAGCAGTAGTAGTAGTAGTATTAGTAGTAGCAGCAGCAGCAGCAGCAGCAGCAGCAGCAGCAGCAGCAGCAGCAGCAGCAGCAGCAGCAGAGCAGCAGCAGCAGCAGCAGCAGCAGCAGCAGCAGCAGCAGCAGCAGCAGAGTAGAGTATTAAAAAAAGGTATTCACATCTCCTTCATTAACGCTACTAACATTGTCAAAATACATCGTTAATCGTGGCAGCAAACAGTGTTTTATCTTTCTGTGATTTCTTGTGACATTATTATGATGATGTTTACTTCCCACAAATGTTTCCATGGCATGGTGATCATGTTGAAGATTATTTGGGACCGCAACGATTTTTAGTGAGTTATGTAGTATCCCATTTGGCACATTGTTGATGAATAGTTCCTTGTCTGTAGCTCGAACAGGAAGATTGAAGCAAATTCATCACAATATGGACCTCTACTTCCCTAACAGCTCTTTATGATTTCAAAAACACGTAACATTGGCATTGAGCATGAAACAAGTGTATGGAATGTTTACTAGCTTCTTTTCAAAGTCCAACTTCACTCAGCAAGGATGAGGAATTCCAATATAATATGTCTTTTTGCCGCTGTTTTGATAAAAAAAAGTTTTCTGACGTACATCTTCCAACGTTTGCTTTCGAGCTGCTTTGACTTTTGGAAAGACTTTCATAACTCTGTGGACAGCTTGTTTGCATGACGAGGGTGTCTGTATGATACTTCCTCGAATATATTGAACCTCTTTTTTTTTCTCTGTGTCTTCACCTTTTTCCTTTTTTTGTGAATGGAACCTTTCTCTAGCCTAAGCATTGTCCGCCCTTTCCTTCTGCCCTGACCAGGATGTTGTTACCTCTCTTGCGTAGCTTTTCTATTTCTTTCTTTAGTATCACTAGCCAAACAAACTTACTTTGCTAGTGGTAGTGGTAGGCAATTTGAGGTTTTCTTTCTTGTTTTTCCTACATTTCTTGACTTGTTCGTCGGTCTTTGCCTTGTGATTTGCAACCTTCTTTCCATAGAGACGAACGTCTTCAGCTCTTTACGATTGCACATCGATGTCACCCTTTGTTTTCTTTAATCGGTCCCGGGATTCCTTAGTTGGCTCAGTCTTAAACTTTATTGTAATAAACTTTGTGTTTTTCTTTTTTGGAATTTCGGTACTTGAAAGCAACGCATTCAGAGGTCTCTAGCGCAGAGCACGCACCTATTGTACTGTAAAGTTAGAAAGAGAATGTGGGAGCGGGAGGGGTGAATGAAAAGTGGTACCAATCAGTTTTGTAACTGAATATAAAGAGATTAATGTGCTATACTTGGTCGAAAATAAGATTATGCTGCATTACTTTTTGTATTATTTTATCAAAATAATTCGCAACAGAAAAAGTAGTCACAAACTCTGTTTTAGAATGTATAAGAATAAAATGAATATAAACCGATGTTATTCGTTACTTATGTGGTTTTGCTAGTCTTATCATAGTCCAAGACGATAAAATCAGCTACTATGCCCTAAATATTATTGGGGCAACCCTTATTACCAAGAATTTCGTCAAAATGATTTAGTCCTGTGTAACCATTAAGACCAATGTAAAAACTTATTTTCCTCTTGTTAAAGCCAATATTAATTTCTGGTGAAAACTAAGGGTAAAGCTACACCGTGGACAAAGCGAAGCAGCACGGTCGGGACAATCAAAATAAAACCAAAGGGAAAGACGGACGTTACCATACCAGCCGTACCAAGAACAGCCCGAAGCGAGGAGATGCCAGGAGAAATTCCGGCCAATGTACACTCGCTTTTATTGCTTGAAATGTAGGCTACATGTGTGCACATGAGCATATTATTTACAGCTTGCTTGACATTAGTAGATCTACAAAATTTCAGTGATTATAACAAGAAGAAAAACGAGGAGAGCTAGAGAAAACTGTTTGTAAAAACAAATATATGAAAAATAAAAGCAAAGCACACAATGCATTTACTTTTATTCAAAGCAAGACATTATAGAATTGACCTCTTTTCAATTAATTTGTAGACCAAGATCTACCTATCCATCAGTTCTCCATAACATTCCCTTCTTAACACTCTTTCCATCTGTCTCTCATTCTTTCTTTCTCAATCGTTGAGATGTGTCTTAAGTTAGTAGTCTGTTAGGTGAGTTTAACCATTAACATTTCATGCAGATAGAAAAAGGAATCACGACTCATTCAAACTGAATCTGCACATCTTCTTTTGGTCGTCTGGTAAATTTCTCTTCAAGATATGAAATTCACCAAAATTTATGACGCATTTAAGTAATCGGCTTCCCCTACTTATTTCTTTCTTTTCTCTTTAGAGTTACCACGTCGATCAGGAGAAACGGCGCCAATATTTTTCAGTTCATTTTCAACAGAAACTAAGATTGACATGGAAAATCTCATACAACGTTACATCACTTGCGTCTCCCTCTTCGCCTTGTTCCCTGTGTTTACGCCTCGTCACCACCAAGCCTACAGTGTGACATTACCCAGAATAGGACATATCAATATACTTTGCATTCCATTGACGGAGTCTGTCAACAAAGTTAAATTACTGATGCTCGATGTTAAATATTTGAAACACCAAGCCAAGCAGCCTTATCCTTGTATTTGCAATGTTTCAGACAACGATAACAAGTTGTCACCTTTAATTGCCCCAACTGCCATCCCCAAAGCTAGAAATATGTGGCATCAACGCATGAAATCCTTGAAATGAAATTCTTAAAGAAGTTACTCAATTACAAAGATTATAACACAAAGACCAAGGCTAAATCGTTAAAATGAAGAAATCAAGCTCTTTGTCCAATTTCCATTTCGATACAACAAACACTATGAAAACCAACAATCCTTGTTTTGGCAGGATCCAAACTCATCCATTTCCTTGAGGGACTTAAAAATTTCATCAATGAATTACACATTTTGCAATCGTATAAAAAAGAAAGCAAATTTTAAAGCAATTCAAGTCTTCATAATTACTTACATCTTAATCGTTAAACCGCTAGAAATTGCGTGACGAAGTCATTCATATTCACTTTCTATAGACACCGTTGTCTTGCGCCGGGGAATAAATGAAAGCCTAGTTGATTGGAAACCAGTGCACTTGACATAAAAACACCGCACTAAAATTTCGAGCTACTTCCGGCAGAAGTAAACATGCAGATCTTAATCGTTAAAACGTGACAAAAATTCAAAGACGCTACTAGTTACCGCCAAAATTTCGTAATCGGTGTAGTAATTTTGTTCTTGGTTGATGAAATGACTAAAGTGATCGCATTTCTAGTTCTACAATAAACAATTACACTTTTTAAACGATCGATTGAACTGAAGATAGGGTTATATTTTTTATCATTTTTCAGAAGAGACGAGTAGCGTTTAAGACCTAATTTTATGTCTTTTGTGAGAACAAATGAGCCGTATTTTTAAGCATATATTTGTCCGTTACCCTGAAAGTTCTAAGATCAGTATTTACACATAATTACGAAAATGATAAGCAGGCACTTCTTAGAGAAATCTTTGGATGAAAACTGTCTCTGGTGAATGTTACGTTTTCATACCTAAAAGAATGCTGATTTTTCAACAACAAAAACCCACACTTTTTCAGCATATCATTTCATATTTTCTGCCTCGTCCAGGTTCGGCAACCTTTCCCCCACCGGCTTAGCTCATCTTAACAATAATTTGAAATAAAGAAAGATATTTATGGTGTTTGCAGTAAGGGGTATGCGCAAGTTCAAGTTTTCAGGAGAATTCCCCATATATATATATATATATATATATATATATATATATATATATATATATATATATATATAAAATATATATATACAGTGGAAACCATATATAACAGGCCCGGTAATAACAGGGATATTTTAAATCCCCGAATTTTCCTACTCTTTGTCTCTATTAAAATTTATCGGCAATAACAGGGCCCCATCGGAGCCCAACCGGTTATAGCAGGGACAAAGGCTCATTAACAATGTGTAAAAAGTAAAAGAGAGAGAGAGAGAGAGAGTAACGCAGAGATGGAGCAAGCCCACGCAAGCCATGCCACTGCAAGTAGAGCAAGCACAGGCAGCGTGTGAAGTGAGAGAGGGCTGCGGTGTGCTGCAGACCTCGATCTAGCCCGAAACCTAGCAACACGCACGCGTAATGTGTCTACTGTCACCAACGATGTCAAACGCAAGAGAAAATGCCTTTCAATTGACAAAAAAAACACCTAAATAATACAGGCTGTTGACAAAACGCAAGCTCCACTGGCAGAGATTTGTCGTCAATTCGACATTCCACAAAGGTCGATTCTCACCATTATCAAGGATAGAAAGAAGATAGTGGCTGCATACCCCCAAAGGAAAATTTACTCTGGGTCGAAAGAAGATGACACAACCGATGCAGATGCTGTGGAACAAGCTCTTCTGGTGTGATTTTAAGGATGCAAGGAGAAAGTTGGTGCCAAAACCCCTGTTCGTGGGTACTACTTGTGGCAAAGGAAACTACCCATGAATAAGTACAGCTGGATTAGTCCACAAATGCTTACTTTCCTTGCATTTCTGATTTAACAGGGATCGGGTATAACAGGACATTTTGTCTACTCCCACCATCCCTGTTATTTCAGGTTTAGTTTTGTTTGTCGAATATTAAAAAGAATATCAAAGCAGTACAAGTCATAATGCAAAAGAAGAGTATGGTTTGCAGACAAAAAAATTAACCTGAGAAAGAACAGAGATGTATGACTTACCAGTGGCCCCCTCCAATCACCCACTCGAAAGTTTTAGAGAGAGATCAGAGAAAACATGTTATAGAGTAAGGGTAGAGAAATTACACAAATGAGAGCCTTGAGAAATATATGTAATATTTGACATACAAGACAGGGGTTGCTTGTGGTGTACACTTAAAGTTAAAGCCAATGAATCAATCTAACCTGACCTAATCCGCAATGGGCACCCATTTATAGAAAGAGTGGCTGAGTAGAGTAAGATGAGAAGGGACAATTATAAGAATGAATAAAGAAAGAAAAGCAAAAAAGCGAGAAGAGAAATAGGCCTACAAAGACTAGAATTCTTAACAATAAGAGAAGAGAGGATTATAAAAGAAAGAAACTCTGGAGCGAAAGTTGAGAGGAGATTTTATAATATAAAGAAGAAAGTAGAAACGCAGTTATCATAGCATGGAATGGGGTTTGCAGTCAGACGAACTAGTACTATGTGCAAATAGGCCATTTTATATTCTATCATCATGTGTAATAAAAGAGAGGGTGGTGGGAGGTGGGGGGAGGCTTGATAAGGTAACCGGTCATTTCGTCACTCTCCAATTATGTGTGACGAAATAACTTCGCTATATCTCTCTCCGAAATTGTTATATTGCTAGTTCTAATAAAGTTTTGGAGAATCAGCCGAGAAAAGCTTTTTTTAAAGTTTTATATAAATTATTAATGTAAATTAAATCTTCGTCCACGCTGTTCCATAGTTGAAGGCAAAAACAATGTCTGGTAAGGAGTTAATAAAGGGCTTTGTTTGAAAGTAAGGGTCCATCTTCTATTAGTAAAATTGCAGTACTGTACATTTCTATTAGTTCATTTTAACAGATGATCTCTTGCCAATCACACCTTTCTTCATCAATAATAATACCACCTAAAAATAAAAACTTTTGTTGATCTGACTCGATAGATTTCAATATTTCAATACATATTTATTTTTTCTGAACGGTGTAGCTGATCAAGTTGGCACGACAACTCGCACAGCCCCCCCCATCCTTCCACACACAGCCCCAACCCTCCCCCAATAATCGTGATTTGCGATCGCCATGACAATGCCCGTTTGATGTTTGCAAGTGTGCTATGTATGGACCATCTCCATTCAACCTTGTGGGTTTGGGATGTGACGAGATGACTGTGACTGTGACGTCTTGACTGCACCAGTGTGACGAAATGACCGTGTGACGAAATGGCTGGTATTCCTTGATCACCATCTCCATCAATTATTACATATATAATTTTTTTTTAAACCCATCCTACTCAAGCCAACAGCTGATTCTCCTGCATTCAAACTTTAAAAAGAAAAACTTTCCTTCAAGGTCAAGGCTCCCAAGAAATAATGCCTCGCTACACTATGTGACTATAGACTTCAGCTACAGTGTAGCCTACACTATGTGACAGCCACTTCAACCCACTTACTACTCATAGACTCATAGTTGACTCATAGTCATACTGTCATAGGTTGTGATTTCAAATTTTGTTTAAAATTTTTTTTTAAAAAGAAAAACAATCACTAAAAGTTGTCAACATCAACACTCCTGTGATAGAGATCACATCTTTCAAAGGTTATTTTCACCCCCCTCCTCCCCCACTACACTGCCAACCCCTTTCTAATATTAATTTTGGTAAATTTTTCCTTTCACTCCCGCACACAGATGCACTGTTTCAAGGGTCAAACTGCTGTACTGTTTGCTGCAGATCACACACATACAGCCACTAAAACTGTCGCAAATCAATTATTTTCAAGACAATTTCAAATCTAACTGTAAAATATCAAATTATGGGTGTAAAAACAGGGGGGCATGCCCCCCTGTAACCCCCCAGATTTTCTTTTACCCCAGTGGGGCAGGCCCCCCTGGAACCCCCCGATTGGTCCAAAGCATGTCTATCTCGGTTAAAAACAATCAAATATTTCAAAAACTATTAATTTGCGACGGAAATGAAGTTGATATTCGTGTTCAGCACAACAATATTTAGTAGAAAAGAGACAACTGGTAGCTGAGTGTGAGACGGGAGGGAAAGTAAAAAAATACCTTAATTTTCCTTAAAAAATTATTTCTACTCCACTGGTCAGTCTCCGTAATAAATTATAAAAAATATTCCATTATTTTATGTCATTCTTTATGGGAAGTGGCTATTCTCACCCGGGGTGAGAATAAAAATACGATCTACCTCTCACCCTGGGTGAGACTTGCCAGCGTAGGCTATTCTCACCCGGTGTGAAACAAGACCTGTTTTTCCTCATTTTGGAATACTGTCTATCGGTGTGGATGATCAAATTAATAAAAGCCAAGAAAAAATTACGTTATAGCACAAAAGTAAGCTAATTTGATCGTCTGCCGGGGTGAGAATAGAGGTGGCCTTCTTTATGATACTCTGCTACCAGTACCCCCTTTCTACTAATCTACTAGCAAGCTAGCAGTATAGATCTAGATCTAGTGTAGTGTAGATCTAGATATCTAGAATCTAGATATATATATCTAGATCTAGAGCTAGAATCTATATTCTAGATCTAGATATCTAGATCTAGATCTAGGTCTAGATTTCTAGATCTATCATCATAGAGCTGAATTATTAGCCTCTATTTACATCTAGATATCTAGATCTAGATCTAGATAAATCTAGATCTAGATCTAGATCTAGATCTAGATTTATTCATTTTTTTTCCATTATAATACTTCCCCACAAAACGAACCTGTACTTGTAAGCCCCCCTTCCCCGTACAGGAGTACAGGTCATAGAGATCCAAGATCTAATTGGGGCAGATTTCCCAGTCACAGCTGTCAATTTTAGTTGAAAATAATAGTAGAGGCGAAATATCCAAATCCCATACAAACCCTCATAGACTAGATTTCTAATATTTTCTACGAAAACTCTCTCCCGCCTCGTCCCCCATGACGGTTTCGTTGAGTCAGGGGCCCCTTTCGGGATCAACATGCAAATCTTAATACAGACATGAATACACTGTTGAGTTGATGCACGTAACTGTAAGTTTAGGGGGTACATTCATTAATACCTTCACAAATCATCACAAATATAGCCAACAAAGAAGAAAAATATCATTGAGGCCAACTGTGCAAGATCCTCTGCTCTGTCATCGCCATGAACTAGATCTATGCATTATGGGATAAAAACAAATGCAGTTGGCTGGAGGCCGTTTCGTACACTTGCGGCTAGCTACAGCCCGTCAGCCAGGCGCTGATTGGCTGTGGTAGGCTAGTGGTGAATATTGTGTTTCGTACTCAAGGAGTTTAGAAACCTGCGGCTAGCTGCAGCCCGTCAGCCAGAAGCTGATTGGCTGTGGGTAAGCTAGTGGTGCTCTGATTGGCTGTGGTAGGCTAGTGGTGAATATTGTGTTAGGCCCATGATTCCAGTTTTAGCAGTTCGGAAACTTCTGAAACAGTGCTGTCAATTGTCAATATAATAGCTTAATCTTCCACAGGTAGAAGTTTTGGTGGCTGAATGGCCAGCGTGACTGCGTTCGGAGTGAATGAGCGAGGGATCGATTATCTGTCAAATTTTTAAATTTTTTTGGGGGGGTCCCCCTCCCTTCTTCTCCTCCTCCCGACTGATCAACAATTTTTTTCCCTTAAATATATATATATAATTCGTTGTTTTGTAGGTTTTTTTCTGTAGTGATGAAGCAAGCAGTTTTAGCTCTTTTCGATTGTCGCTTCTTCTACTTCTAGCAATTATAGGCTAATTGTTCCGTTGCAGCCTTACGCCTGCAAATGATTCATCAGATTGGAAAGTGATACATGTAGTAATCTTATGATGAATCTCTCTCTCTCTCTCTCTCTCTCTCTCTCTCTCTCTC